CTTCAAAAACTATTAATGCCTGTGGCCCATCACCAAAGACTGTGATTTAATTGGTCTGGGATTAGGCCTGGATTTAGGAAATTTTTTAAAGGTCCTCCAAGGGACCCTACGAGGCAGACAAGTTTGGGAACTATTGGGTTACTCAAAAGAGAACACACATATTAGTCAAATTCATTTCCAAATTCCATTCAAGGAAGTTTCCTGATTACTTCAGAAGACTAGAATGCTGTCATAATGATACTGCCTAAAATTTAAGTTCAATATCCCAGTGTGAATAAAGTGAAGGTTCCTGTGGCCAGGATTCTCACCTGGGCGTGGTTGGCTAGCTCACTACACACATGTGGGCAATGCATAGTTATTGACTCTATAAAGAGCCCAGCCCAGTGCTCTGGGCAACATGGAAGCACGGCTGCAGGAGAGCAGAACAGAGGACAGAGACTGGGACAGCTGTGCAAGCAGAGGGGCCCAGAGGCAGAGACAGGCTTGCTGCAATGCAGACTCGCTCTGAGTGAATGGGATTCTAGTGATTGACCTGCCATTGTGGAAATAAAGTTGGGTATAACCCTTTCACCCCAAGAACGTTCTACTGTCATTTCTTTGGTCACATTGAATGCATAGTGAACGTGCCCAGGGCTGAAACCCATTGGCAAGACACCCATGTAAAAAAATCTTTATTCTTGTGAACTACATCTTTTAAATTAAAAGAGGCAGTTAATTCCTACATTATTTTGTTTGGAGGAAATCTGTAATTTTGGAATCCACAAGAGTTTGTGTCACTCATTAAATAATCATCTATGCCATTTAGCTGTCCAAAAACGGCATTAGGAACACCTACACAAGTGGAAAGGAATCATCGAAGTTTCTGTATGCTTGAGATGGCCTCTGTGATGGTGATTTTTGGCTGCTGTAGTAAAGATGCTTCCCCCTCACCTTCACTGCCAGTTTCACCAGGACTTTCACCAGTCTCCATGCCCCGGATGACCTCTGTGTCCCTCAGCTCCTGTGAGATGATGAGATCATCATCTGCAGTGACAAAGTCCTGGAAATGTATTTCATCTGGGACACAGGTGGCAATAGCCACTGAGTGCCACAACTTTTCAATGGCAATATCTGGTTCTGCTGCTGTGTCAGAATCTGCCAGTTGTATAGGGATGATGCCTGCCTTCTGCCAGCATTTCACCACTGTGGACTGTTTGACCACCATGCTGCAGCTATCATGTCACTGGCCTGCTTGATGTCCACTGTTTCTTGATCTTAATGGCTGTTGAGCTGGAGGAGAATGTGCATTAGAAGTTGGCTCTACAGTGCTTTCATGGTATGAATTATGCCAAGTTTCAGTGGCTGTAGAACGGCAGTACAGTACAGATACCCCACCTGAATCCTTTCCAAGCGTGGAAGCACGTTGTGAGCAGAGCAGTTGTCAATCAGCAGGAGGATCCGGCCTTCTGCCTGCTTCATCCTGGCATCCACTTGCATCAACCACTCATTAAACAGACTGTGTCATCCATGCCCACTGGTTGGCTCAGTAATCACAAGAGAGGGAGTGGACGTTCCTGAGGCAGTGTGGGTTGGCTGACCTACCAACAATCAATGGCCTCATTTTTTCAGTCCCTGAAGCATTGCAACAAAAGAGTACTGTCAACCGCTGCTTTGCTTTCTTGCCCCCTCTACAATGGTCCCCTTTAGCAGCAAGTGTGTGCTGGGGAAGCAACTGAAAAAATACTCCTGCCTCATCAGCATTAAAGATATCATCTGGGCTATAGTCAGCAATCAGTTTTATAATTTCCCCCACATGCCACTCATTAACCCTATCTATTCCTAGACCATTCATTAATCTTTCACTATCATCTCTACAAACTGCTTTCAAAGCAATTCCATGGCGATTCCTAAATCTTTTCAGCCAGCCCACGCTTGCTTGAAAATTCTCATAGCCAAGCATGTTGGCCAAATTCAGTGCTTTTTTCTGAGTGACAGAACCAGTCGCAAGACCATTTTTGGCATGGATTTCTTGAAACCAAGCAAAACGGCCTCATCAATGTCATCATAGAGAGCGTTTCTCATCCTTTTCCTCTGGGGCCCCACAGATGCCTCACACACTTTTTCTTCAAATTTAGTGCGATCCTTTAAAAATGTAGACAAGGTAGAAGAAGTGATGATGAACTCTTTTGCCACATCACCTTTCCTCCTGAGTCTACAGCTTCCACAGCTTTCATTTTCTCCTCCAGGGAGAACTGCTGACACTTCTTGTTTCCCTTGTTTGCCATATCCACAGAATGAGGGCTGGGCCACAACTACAGGGTTGTGTTCCTCCTCTCCTTGACTTGTTTTGCCACAGTGTGGAAAACTGAGAAGGAAAAATGGAGTACCTATCAGGAACCAAAGATAATGGATTCCCTTAGAAAATGGGTTCAAGTTTAAAAAAATCCTCTTAGGAAATGATAACATAAGACCAAAGTCAAGAGAAGATAGGAATCATGCTGTTTGTAGAGATTAATTTATACAGACTCATAGAATGTTTGAAATAGAAGAGCTCTTACAGATAAAACAGTCCGAGCCTCCATAAAAATAAGACAATCTCTGCTCTGCCTATGAGAATGCATTTAAATAATAGATAGAAAAAGAACTTTGCAAATAGCATGCATTGTTTGAATTCAAGGGATTGTTATCTGGCTCATTTTATAGATACAGAAACAGGCCTGGGTGGGGGGGGGTCGTCTACCCAGATTCACACAACTGAAATTTGTTAGTTTAGTGCTATTTGTGCCACTTCACAGTCCTGCTTGAAATTCCACCAAAATGAGATCTTCAAATCTCTATCATCATTTAGGTTGGAAGGATTTCACTGTGGGAAGATGTTTCTGACAGCCATACATTCACTTAATGGATATTTAGAGGTGCCAAGTGCTAAGGATAGTGATGAACAATATAGTTAAGGTTCCTGCCCTTATGAAATATACACTGTGGTGGAGGGAGATAAACAATAAGTGAACAGATAAATAAGATAATTACAGAGTGTGACATATGCTATGAAGGAAATTAACATGATCCAGCAGTAGCAGTTTCGGTAATTGCCTGCTTGGACCTTTATTGTGAGAGTTCTCAAAGGATGAGAGGAAATGTGACCTTATGCTGTGACTGCCCCTTCACAAGGGCTTCTACCACACCTCCACATGTCAATCTATTCATGGCATCCTTTACGTGTTACTTATTGTTCTCGATGCCAGCCATGTATAGATGAGTGGAGAATAGTACTACGTTAAGCATAATACTATAAAGAGGTTACACAGTACCTATGACATAAAATGGGGATGACTGACTGGGATGCGTAGTGAACTTCAAAAAGCAAATTATATTGATATTGGGTCTTAAAGTATAAACAGTAAGAATTGGTGAGGTGGAAGGAAATATAAAGTACTACAAAAAACAAGATGGCATGGTCAGGAAAAAAAATTAAGCTTTTTGAAAAGAAAACAAGGGCCAAATCACAAAAATGCCTAGTAAAAATCCTAGCTTGATCCTGGGACAATAAGAAGCTTTTAGAGGGTTTTGTTTTGTTTTTTAATAATATGATCAGATTTGCACTTTATATAGAGTCCTTTGGTTGCAAGGTGGAGAACCTAAGGGTAAAGAGATGGCCCTAAATCTGAAGATAAAAGCAGGCTAGCCTGATAGGCCATATAGTTGGGGTATGTTGAGTACAATAGGAAGCTACTGAAGGACTGTAAGCAAAGAAGAAAGATGGCTGCTGTGTGAAGAATGGAGTTGAAGTGTGTCAAAGAAAAAGTAGACTAGTGAGGAATAAAGGCTTGGATTAGAGTAACAGCGGAATTAGTAAGAAGCAGTCAGTTCTGAGCGACATTTGTGCAGATCTTGCTGATGTCCTGTGACAAGGATAACTCCCAGATACCTGGGCTTTAGCACCAACCTAGTGGATGGTGGTGCCATTTACTGGGATGAGAACCAGTTACAGAGAAGATGGGAACCAATTACTGTGGCTCTACTTCATAAACGTAATTTTTTACTTTACATGCTTAATATACAGTTTTCATGCGGCAAGACTGGGATTCAAACCCAGGGGGGCTCACCACAAAGCCAGTGTTCTGAAAGCTAGAGTGCTGTATAGCTTGTGTAAACTACCAGTACTGAGAAGGGACGTGGGAAGAGAATGAAGCAGGAACCAAACCAGTCTTGTAGGTCAAACTGTTTGACTTTTACTCTGAGTGAAGAAGACACTGAAGGGTCTTAAACGGGGAGTGACCTAGTAAGACTTACAGGGCAAAAAGGTCAGCCTGGCTGTTGTGTCAACAGACGGTAGAAGGGATTAGAGTGGAGGTGGGAAACCTGGTAGAGAAAAGTAGGCAGACTGGAAATATATCGACAAGATGGTGAGGGTCGTGCGGGTACTTGTACAAATGCGGGACAATCTGTGACATCAGAGGGAAAGGGTAATACAATGCTTATCTGATTCCGTAGCCTCTCACACAGTCATTCAGCTTGGTTCGAATCATTTCAGGAACTTACTACCATTATTGTGCGCGGGACGGTGGGTGGGACCGACTGAGGCAAGATCGCCGGGTTGAGGAGGACGGCTTGATGCGGCACTAAGAATCCCATCCTGAACGAGCGGGTACAGACTAAGGACGGCGGTGTGAGGCCCTGGGGGCGGTGCTGGGAGTCTGGTGCTGGAGATCCGCAAAGCAGGACGTGGCTTTGAGAGATGAGGCGGGGCCTCGACCCCACACGTTCGGCACAGCCCCGCCCCAGTTACCTGAACGCCCTACAGCAATGCCCCGCATTTCCCCGGGGGCGGCTGCAGCTTCCTCCTCCTCCTCCCGGAACTTACAGCCGGAAGCCGTCCGCCCGCCATAGCAGCCCGGCTCTAAGCCTCTGAACAGCGTGGGCCCGCCCCTCAACTAGGGCTGGACTGTTGCGCTTGCGCTTCGGGCGGTGTGGCGGAGGGGTGGGTGGTGCGGGGGGTGTCGGACGCAGTCACGCGCCGCCTGCCGCTTCCGGCGCGCCGCTAGGGCAGCCGGGACGGGTCTCCTTGGCGATCCTGGGTGTGCTGTTGCCGTTGCCGCCTCCGGTGCCGTTCTCGGGCTCCCGGGGCTGGATCCTCCGGGGCCCTCGCAGCGCTGGTGACGAGCCTGCGGGACGAAGCTTTGCTCCACATCGCGGCTCCGAGGAGGGGAGCGAGGGGGCTGCCGCGACTCCGCGCCGTGTGTTGCTGGGCGGCGCCGCGGCGCCGGGGCTGCTCTAGAGCCCGGGATGCGCGCGCGGGCGCTCGCCACCACTTCCTCGTTGCCGCCGTCGTGCCTGGGGCCGCCTCTCACAGGCAGCGGGGAGCGCGAGTGCGCCGCGCGGCCGGGCGCCCCGGGGAATGTGAGTCGCCCGGTTCGCACGGCCCTGCGGGTGAGTCCTGCGCTCGGCCGCCGCGCTGCACCTGCCGCGGGCCCGCTGGTGCCCTGCGGCCTCCTCCACAGAGCGGAGGGGTGGTGCTTAGGCACCACCCGCCCGCAGGCGGTGCCTCCGGGAGCCCTGAGGCCCGGAGGGGAGAGGGACGACCCCAGAGTGATGCGTGGCCCGCCGCTGAGCCGTCAGACGCCGTCTATGCGGTTCCGGGAAGGAAGGAGCTGATGGGACAGTGAGAGTGTCTCTCAGATTTCAGTTACTGCCCTTAACCAGTTTCACAGATGACAAGACTGAGGCTCAGAGGAAGCAAGCAGATTGCTCAAGGTCACAGAGCTCTGTGCGGGTGCTATTATGATATTTGACTTAAATTAGAACCCTCGTCTGCCCTTGGTTTTAACCTTTATATTAACCTGCCTTTTTTTGCATTGCTGTCCTGAGGCCTAGCATCTGAAAGCAGTGTTGGGCTCAGGCTTGAAATGGGTAGACAAACACACACAAACCCAGGGTAGTTTCTCCCTGCCCCAACCCCAAGGTGGTCGTAATGACTTTGGTTTCCCAGCTTGTTTTGCTCTGGGTGTTAAAATCCTGTATGCTCCTCTTTACAAATGGTCTCCTGCTTTTGTACTGCTTTTCTCTGCAAGACTGAAGGGCTGACAAATCAATTAATGAGGACAGAAAAATGCAGACTCCTCATAGCTTTGATTTGAACTCTAGCTTCCCTTAACTCAGTAAAGTCATTGGCCTGTTACCTAGCCAACCTGTGAGTTATGTTCTTTTCCAGGGTTGCACTGTGACAGAATGAAGGGGTTTTTTGGTTTTGTTTTTAGTGGGAAAGGAAATCATGTGAAGATGACAGAACTAGAAAGAACCTTAGGAATAATGTGTTCTTAACCTGGGGTATATCTTTAAAATTATAGGTGAAATATTGTCTGTCTGCATTTTCTGGGGTAGTAGTTTTCAGAAAGGGATTCTGGCCTCCCAAAAGGTTAGGAGCCACTTATTTCAGCCTCTTCCACTCACATGAGGAACAGTTGAGATTTAGAGCAGGGTATACACTTGTCTGCGATCATATGTTCAGACTGTAGATGTGGACCTAGGTCTCCTGACTTAACATGTAGTGCTCTTTTCATCTTTATGCCTCATCAGATACCTCACTGTGGAGTGAGGTCTGAAGGAGAGTGAGTGCCCTTTGTATTACACACATCAATCAGTCATGTGTTTACTACCACAACTCCCTTTTTCTCAGAAGCTTAATTTTCACAAGCACTTATATTATTTCCTTCATAAAGTTCAAGTGGTTTCTGGGAACCTCTTCTCCCTCCAAAGAGTGAATCTCCTGGGTAAGACTTCAACGTAGAATGTGGCTACAAATAAACTAGCTCTTTTTGAACCATTCATTCAGTTTTGTTTTGTTTTTTAATGCCCTCTGTTTCCTAGGAAAAGCTATTAGTAGACTTTCTGATTTTTTAGGCCAGTGGTGAGAGAGCTATGGTTGGCCTGTCAGATTGCTTTTTGGACCTGACCTGCCAGTACTGTAGCCACTAGCCTATATGTGGCTGTTTAAATCAATCACAATTAAAACAAAATTTGGTTGCTCAGTCACGCTAGCCATATTTTAGGTGCTCCATAGCCTTAGGTAGCTGCTATATTGGAGAGCACAAATACAGAACATTTCCGTCATTACAGAAAGTTTGTTGAACAGTGCTGATTAGAGGGTTGCCAGTGGTAATGAGCAGCATAGTATAATGAACAAAGGCTCAGAGTTGGAATTTTGAATTTAAAAATCTGTCTTTCAAGAACCTATTTGGGTGTGGTGGCCTTGGGCAGGTCATTAAGCATCTCAGCCACAGATTACTTATCTTTAAAAATGAACCCCTTCTTTTGTGTACTGCTTGACTCTTCCCAAAGTTATGTTCTATGACATCCTTTGAGCCTCATCACTCAATCTGTGGTAAAGTGGGTGAGACACCTCTCTCTTTGCTTGTGAGAGAATTGACCCTAAAACAGCTAAAGGTCCTGCCCAAAGCCATGCATGCTACATAAGAGTTTAAAGAAACCTCTTACATAGAGGCACTGAACTGCAATTGATTCACTAAGTGAATCAATGAAGTAGCTTGCTTAAGGTGATGAAACATGAAGCATGAAGGAGGGTCCAGAATTTCTGATTCCTGGCCAAGTATTCTTTCTGCCTGTTAACATGTGGAATTCTTGTAATGTGGGGCTAATCTTTGAGTTGAAGGATTACTATATCCATGAGTGAATGCAAGCAAAGGGGCTATCTAAGCTAATTATCCCAAATTGGCCTGGTCAAAGGAGTCACCTGGAACACTCGTTAAGTGCAAGATAATGTGGATTACCCTCTAGAGATTCTGATTGAGAGGGGCCAAGGTGAAACCCTGGAATCTGTGTGTTAAGAACCCCTCCCCGCCCCCTTAGGATCTCCTGAGTTTGGGAAATGACTGAGCCTTAAGGGCTTCACGGAGGTAAGGGATATTGGACCAAGAAGGTACATTCTTCAAATTTGTTTGTATTTGACTTTCTTCTAGCCATGGATGCATCATGTGATGGTACTGAGGTAACTGTCGTGATGGAAGAAATTGAAGAAGCCTACTGTTATACCTCCCCTGGGCCACCCAAGAAGAAGAAAAAGTATAAAATACATGGAGAAAAGGCCAAGAAACCCAGGTTAGCCAACACATTTTGGTAGCAGGCATTTGTAAACAGAAGCTGCTTGGAGAGCTGTATTGAGGAAGACTAAGCTGCATCCAGACTCACTGAGAGTGCCGTGTCCATTGTTGACATCTCTAGATGGGCGGCAGGGTTGGAGGGAAAGGGAGGTGGGGAGTGGGAAGTAGTGGATTGATGCCAACAATTGCCTTTTCCCAGCCAGATCTTGGTCATGTTTCCAGCTATCGCAGGAAATCGTACAATACAAATGGTGGAAGCTCTGCACAAAAGAACTGTGTTATTTATCATTACCATAGTTATTTAAATGTTTAGGGCATTAATAAAAATAAGGTATTATAAATACTACCAGTGATATCTGTAAAGAATATCGAAAGCTCTGCTCTCCCTCTTAACTTGAGCACGCCAAACTTCTTGCTGGGGCTACCAACACTCAGTGGCCTTGATAGTTCTCCTTACTTCCTGCTCTCAGCCTGGGGGAAGTGCTGCTGACCAGTGAGATGACCAAAGGTTGTATAGAGGCGTAAAGAGGGTAAGTGAAAACCAGACTGTGTAATCTCTAAGTAGCCTTTACCTGAGAATGGAATGATGGCACCGAGTCTGTGTTCGTGTTGGGTTTTAAAGCCAGTCATCCCTGCAAAAAAAGTGGTCCATGGAAAAGTAAACCAGATAAGCCAGGTTTACTTCTCCTTCCAGGTTTCTGGAGGGAGAACATTCCTCCTGTATACCGTCTGGCGGTGTTTTTTAACTCTTCACTACTCAGACCCTAACACTGAGGCTTTGAGTGCTTGGATCAAAGAATAACACTGTAGTACTGGTTGAATGAGGGAAAATCTTAAGAAGTCGTTGCTTCCTCAGGTCGGCTTACCTTCTGTACTATTACGACATCTACCTGAAAGTGCAGCAGGAGCTCCCCCACCTCCCGCAGTCTGAGATCAACAAGAAGATTAGCGAGAGTTGGAGGCTTCTTAGTGTAGCTGAGAGAAGTTACTACTTGGAGAAAGCCAAACTAGAGAAAGAAGGTTTGGATCCTGTAAGTAATTATTTGTCCAGCTGATTTCTCCACTGGGTCAGTGGTGAAGGCCCTGGGAAGACCTCTTCTCTTCTCCTGTTTCCTTTTCTTGGGAAGACTTTGAGTTGGGTCCATTTTATCTTTTTTAGTCTAATACTGTCTGTTCCCATTTTTATGATGCGCTGCACTCTTTGTTTGTCATCTTTGGTTGCAGCAGTACATGGGACTAACATTTTCTGAGTTATTTGCAATGAGCCTTTGGTTCCTTTTTCAGATTTTAGCATAACTTGGAGACACTTATCCTTGTGAGTAGTTAGTATTATTTTCCCTTAACTTAATAGTTTATTTAGGCATTTGTCCTACACTGGTTTTCATGTATCAGTGTAATGTAATTAATTTTTGTTGTATTGATTGCTATGAGTTGTAACACAATCAGCAATTAGCTCCTGTGTTCAGAGGTAGATAGCTGCTTTGTCCATTGCCATGTTCTTCTGTTAACCACTAGTGGTTGTGAACTGTGCTACAAGCAAAATACTGAAGCTACAGCCAAAAATGATGAAGGCTTTGAGTGCTTGGATCAAAGAATAATCAAGAAAGCTTTTAGGTTTGTTTCTGTCAGCATTTTGTTATTTCTAGTTCACAACAGTAAAATGTTTGTGCAACTATTAACATGGTTTGTTTTTTAACTGAAACTCCTGCTGGAAAAATAATAAATTTCAGCTTGTTAGTGCAGGCTGAAACCTTTTAACCTTAATTCCTCTCTTCAATTGAAAGAATTCTTTCTAAGTTATCTTTTGATAATATAGAGCAAAGGTTCTTCGGAAATGCAACAGCTGTGTTGTAGCAGAACAGGTTGTATTTTCTCTAAGTGGAGCTCATCTTCCACTGTCATTTAGATTATTCTGTCCTTATTGGCTTGGCTTCCCTTCCTGGAAGAGCTTTGTGTTACCTATAGTCTTGGATATGCCACTCTGTACACTGTCCTCTAGATGATTTGTTTATAAATTGTGAGTCTGGGAAGCAATCCCTGGGGGGTAAAGGAGGTGGAGTCTAGGAAAAGTACATACATATTCTTCCTTTGATTTCCCCATTATAAAGGCAGCAATCTTTTTGCCCATGCTACGGGAAAATTTTATCTAATCCTGGAGTGATACAGTTTTTAAAACTAGGCACTAATGTGGGTCCTTATTAAGACTTCAAAAAATTTTAAGTAAGTCATCTGTAATGATTTTTCTTTGTCCTTATGTGAATTTATATTTGCCATCATCTCTACCACTTCCACAAACCATTCATTGATCAACTCTGATATTATCTAGCTATGACCTTGGAAGAATAACCTTTGAGGTTTGGTTTCCTCATTTGAAAAATGGGGATAATAGCAGATACTCAGAATGTTTAACATAAATAATTTAAAGCTGAGTTCTTGGCACATACTGACTTGGCCAATAAATATCACTCTTTAGTAGATTTAATGCCCAGTGACCGTATCATAAGAAAAGGTGTCATTTATTGAGCATCTGAAATATGCCAAGACTGGGTAAGGCTTCATGTGCTGTTTGACTTCTCCCAGATTGCCTGATACGACAGTGAAACTCCCGTGCCTGCATGTTTTGGGAGCCTGTCAGGGACTTTCATGGCAGGCTGTCTCCTTAGCAGACCATCAGGTCTCCTGCTAAGTGGCAAGATCTGTGATTCCAGTGTTACTCCTTCCAGGTTGTAGGGTGAATGTCGTTCAGGCTGCCCTAATTTCTCTGTTTGAATTTGTTGATTAAGTCCAGACCATCCTATGCATTTGCCACCATTTAGTCTTGTTCTCCTGACCTGACTGCTTCAGAGGGTGACTTAAATGTCATTTCCCCATTCTCTCTCCAATAGAGGCTCCATAAAAGATTCAGTCTGTCTACTTTCATGTTTCATCTCTGAGTGCTTCTTTTGTACCCTCGGTAGTCTCATTGACTTCTTTTGATTTAAGGATCCTTTTGTAATTGACTTGGTGTTCCTTTTAAAAGATGCTTCTCAAATTATTTTTTTGCTCCATTTAATTTCAGTTCTCACTTAACTGTTCAATTTGAACTTTTTTCTCTTTTCCTTATTGGGTCATTTCAGTTTAAATTGGAAAAATAAAGCAAAAGCACCTTTTCTTGATGCCAATTAACCATTCAGAGTTGTGCTTCTAGTACCTGGTCTACTTGCTTTTAGAGGACTTGGCCTGGAGTCCCACCTTTATTGCTTACAAATTTTGTGTTTGGGAGAAGTACCTCCTTGAACTTCAATTCCCTCATTTGTCAAATGGGAATAATAATAGTATCTAATACTTGTGTTATTTTTTAAGGTGAGGGAAGTATTTTCTAAACCTTGAGATCCTATGTCAGTGTTAATATTTATATTATACCCCTGCCCCAAATATACAAATACATTCAGGCCCTTTTGTCAGATAATTCCTTCCATGTACACCTTAGCTTTTTGATCTGTTCATTCTCTTCTTGTAAGTCTGGGAAAACCAGTGATGTCAGAAGCTGTGCTTGCTACCTTGATTTCCAACTTGGCTTTAAGTCTTCTGCTACTTTGGAAACCTACTAAGTGTCATAGCTGATGATGAACTCATAAATACCAGATTCAGCCTCTTCATTTTACAGATAGAGCAGGGAAGCCTAAAAAGGGGAAAGAATTTGGGCGGGACTGTGCCACAACTGGTATTCCAGCTCAGTTTCAGATGCCAAGATCAGTGCCCTTTCCAGAGTCTAATCCACTTTATCTGTCTCCTGTGTGATTGAGCAAGTAAGCCACATTGACTAAAGTGTGATTCAAATGAAGATGTATTTCTGTTGACAGTGGCTGACCCTGTCTAAGTCTCAGGTAAAGAGAGTGGAGTCTTTCTGGTCCCTTGTGCAAAAATACAGAACAGAAAGAACTCCTAAATGTATATTCATGGTCTTACTGCATTTATCTGTTTGTCTCCCCCTTCTTGGCTTCCTCATCCCCAGAACTCTAAGCTCTCTGCACTGACTGCTGTGGTTCCGGACATCCCAGGTTTCCGCAAGATCCTCCCCCGTTCAGATTACATCATCATTCCCAAGAACAGCCTGCAGGAGGATCAGAGCTGCCCTCAGCTAGAGCTGTGTGTGGCCCAGAACCAGATGTCCCCAAAAGGACCATCTCTTGTGTCCAACCCTGCCCCGGAGACAGTGCCCAGCCATGCAGGCTTGGCAGAGCAATGCCTGGCTGTGGAGGCTCTTGCTGAGGAGGTGGGAGCCCTTGCCCAGCCAGGTGCTGTACAGGAGATCACCACCTCAGAGATTCTCAGCCAGGATGTGCTCCTGGAGGAAGCCTCCTTGGAGGTGGGAGAGAGCCACCAACCTTACCAGACAAGCCTGGTGATTGAGGAGACCTTAGTGAATGGTTCACCAGACCTCCCCACTGGAGGCTTGGCTATGCCCCATCCCCAGGTTGGGGAGAGCATGTCAGTGGTAACAGTCATGAGGGTAAGTGGCTTTGGTGCTGATGTCTTTTGCTTTATCTGGAATTAATCAAAAGGCAGCTAGCACCATGAAATGTGATTCTGGAACAGTGGTTATTAAGAGCACTCTTGTGGAACTTCTAGAACACTGCAGTTCTCTTTTTTGCCCTTGGGCTTGCTCCAAGGTTCTCTTCAGTTTCTCAGGCAATTTGACCAATTCCTCTTGCCCAACGTAGCCAGAATTTTCTTCATATGAGGTAGTGCATAGGTACATTAGCAGAAGGGGTGGAAGTGGTATTTGGGCCAACCATGAGTGAAAGCCAGGATTTGTCAGGCTATTCATATTAGTCAGGATGTTATTGGTTTGGTAAGCACAGTGGCAGCTTGAACTGTTTAGGAGAATTTTCAAATTGTCTTCCTGGGCACTGAGTAGGTGGGAAAAAGGAAGTTCTCTTCAAGACTAGGTTGATGGGACTAAAAGCTGAGAAAGAAGAGGCAAGTCTCTCCAGTGGCTTAAGTGTCATGCCTAGTTGAGGAGAAAGAACAGTTTCAGTGATCATAGCCTACTTCCCTAGAAGGGGGTCACTGCTACTATGCTCCCTGTTACCCTGGGTAGGGTGGATCCCTAGAGAGGTAGGGGTTCTGCTCAGGCTGAGGGGACCAGCATGCTGCAGTCCCTGAAGCCAGGACTAAGGAGAGCAGGTACCCCTGTTAAGGAATCCATGCCAGGCCTAAACCCATTTTATTGTTTGTTGCCTCAGTGCTGTTTTTGGTGATCAAGCATGCCACTGGCTGGGTTAGGGCAGATTGATCGGGTGCTAAGAACATTTGACAGTCAGAAGAATTGGGTTCTTTAAATTTAATTGATTATAAAATCTTAGGAGTCCTAACTCTCTTAGAACTTGAGTTTTCTCATCTGTAGAATGAGGATAGTACATTCTGTGTAGTAATGGTTTTCTCTCTCTTTGTTTTTAAACATTTGTGATAGTTGTAAATTCTTTTTTTGATAAGCACATTATGTATGGTTATTGTATTTAATCAGTCTTCCAGTGTTACGGGTGGCCCTCAGTGCTCTTCACTCCGTCACAATAAAACTATTCTCTCCGTGTGCCCATAGGATTCCAGTGAGAGTAGTCCCTCTGCACCAGCCACACAGTTCATCGTGTTGCCTCTTCCTGCCTACTCGGTTGTGGAGAACCCCACCTCCATCAAACTGGTCAGTGTATGGGAGTTCATGGAGATTAAGGCTCCATAATGGCTCTCTTCCAGGTAGCTTTCCAGAGGTCTTAACAACCTTAGGATACTGGGACTGGCAGAGGTCTCCAAGATATCTGGCCCAGGTATTTAACCTAGAGGTGAGGGGTAGGGTGGGAGTGGTTCTATGAATGGGGCTCCACAGGATCCATGAATTCCTTAAATTACATACAACGTTTTTTCCTTGAGAGCATTTTCCTGGGATAGGTTCCATGGCTTTTATCAAATTTTCAGAAGCATACATGTTTAGAAAAATTGGGGGGCCACTGATCTAAATCCTTTATGTTACTGTGCAGGTCAAGAATAATGCCCAGAAAAGAGAAAAGATTTGTTCTCTGTGTGAGTCAAGCTGGGCTGCAAAACAAGCCAGAACTAGGACCCAGGTCTTTTGATTCTCAGCTGATGTTTTTTTCTGTCACATACTTCAACAGGCTGAAATTTATACCTAAGTATTGCATGTTTCTTTATGCTATTGTAGGTGGTATTTTAAAACTTTTTTCAATATCTGATTTCTTACTGCTAGTACAGTATTAATTGATTTTTTTGCATATTAAGTTTGTATCCTGTAACTGCTCAACTCATGTATTCTGGTAGCCCCTTTGTAGAGTCTGTTGCATTTTCTGCATAGATGAGCATGTCTGAATAAAGACAGTTTTGTTTCTTCCTTTCTCATATGGATTCTTTTTCTTGTCTTACTACATTGTCTAGAAACTCTAGTATGATGTTGAATAGAATTGGTGAGAGTGTCTTAGAGGGATCCTTATCTTAGGGGGAAGTATTTAGTCTTTCATCACTAGGTATATTAGCTTTAGGTTTTTCCTAGGTAATCAAGTAAGTTCTCTTATATTCCTAAACTGCTGGGAGTTTTTATTAGGAATGGGTATTGGATTTTGTCAGATGCTTTTTCTGTGTTTATTGAGATGGTTGTATGAATTTTCTTTTTTAGTTTGTTAATGTGATTTCATTGTTTTTCAAATGTTAAGCTAATCCTGCATTCCTTGAATATACCCAACTTGGCAGTGATATATTATCCTTCTAATATATTGTTGGATTTGATTTCTTTTTATTTTGTTAAAAATTTTTGTATCCAAATTCTTGAGGGATATTGGTCTCTAATTTTCTTGTACAGTGTTTGTTTGGTTTCAGTATCAGGGTGCTACCTCATAGAATGAGTTAGGAAATATTTTCTCCTTAGTTTTCTGGAAGAGTCTATGTACTATTGGCATTATTTCCTTCTGAAATGTTTGGTAGAGTTATCAGTGAAGTCATCTCAGCCAGGAGATTTCTTTGTAGGAAGGTTTTTGGTCCAATTTAAAAAATAAAATCTATGGGTGCATTACATATATAATAAGATACATAATATATAAAGTATGTAAAATGTGTATTTTATTGAGTGAGCTTTAGTAGTTTGTCTTTCAAGGAATTTGTCCTTTAATCTTAGTTGTCAAATTTATTAACATAAAATTGTTCAAAGCATTTCTTTCTGTAAAAAAAAAATGTGAAATAAACATAACATAAAATTTGCCATTTTAACCATTTTTAATTGTGTAATTCACTGCCATTAAGTACATTCACAGTGTTGTAAAGTCATTACCAGTATCCATTTCCAGAATTTTTTATCATCCCAAACAGAAACTCTGTACTCATTAAATAATAACTCCCTATTTCTCCCTATCCCCAGCCCCTGGTAACCTCTGTTTTACTTTCTGTAACTGTATTTGCAAATTCTGTATACCTCTTATAAATGGAATCATGCTAATATTGTCATTTTGATCTGACTTTTTCATTTACATAATGTTTTTCATGGTTCGTCTATCTTGTAGCATGTATCAGAATTTTATTTCTTTTTGAGGCTGAATAATAATCCATTACATATATACTAAATTTTTTTATCCATTTGTAGACATTGGTTTGTTTTTACCTTTTGGCTGTTGTGAGTATTGTGTTATGAACTTCTGGTGCACACAAGTCTGTTGGAGTCCCTGCTTTTAGTTCTTTTGGTTATATACCTAAGAGTGGAATTGTGGGATCATACAGTAATTCTAGGTTTAAAGTTTTGAGGCACCCTTGTACTTTTAGTATCTATAGAATCTCTAGTGATTTTACTTCTCTCATCACTGATACTGGTGATTTGAGTCCTTTTTTACTGATAAACCTGCCTAGAGATTATCAGTTTTATTGATCTTCTCAAAGATCCAGCTTTCAGCTTCATTGATTTTTCTCTGTAGTTTTTCTGTTTCATATTTCTCTGATTTCTCACCTGATCTTTATTATCTATCTTCTGCTTGCTTTGGTTTTAATTCGCTCTCTTCTAGTTCCTTAAAGTAGAAGCTCTGGTCATTGATTTGAGACCTTTTTTTTCTAATATAGCCGCTTAGTGCTATAAATTTCCCCCTAACGAACTGCTTTAGTGGCATCCCCCAAATCTTGAATTGTGTATTTTCATTTTCATTCAGTTCAAAATACTTCCTAATTTATTTCTTTAACCCATGAGTTACTTAGAAGTGTGTCCTTTACCTTCCAAATATTTGGGACTTTCCAAATACCTTTATTTTATTGATTTCTGATTTAATTCCATTGTGGTCAGAACTTTGTAGTTTATAAGACTGACTGAATCATTTTAAATTAACTGAAACTTGTTCATGGCCCAGAATATGGTTTGTCTTGATAAATGTTCTCTGTCCATTTGAAAAGAATGTGCACGCTGATGGTGGGTGGGGTGCCCTGTGCGTGTCAGGTCAGGTCAAGCTGATAGTGTTCAACTCTTTTATGTCTTTACTACTTCCGTTCTGTCAGTTGTTGAGGGAAGGCATCCACCTATCATTGTAGATTTATCTCTTTCTTTTTCTAGTTCTGTTAGCTTTTGTGTCATGTATTTTGACTCTGTTATGAAGTACATAAACATTTAAAATTATGTCTTGATAATTGGTCCCTCAGCCATTATGAAATGACCTTATTGATCTCTGGTAACATTCTTTCCTAGGTAATCTGCTTTGTCTGGTATTAAGTTTTCTTTTGATTATTGTTATTAGCAAGATATATCTTTTTCTGTCCTTTTGCTTTTGACCTATTTATGTCTTTGTATTTCAAGTACTTTTTCTTGTAAGCAGCATATTGTTTGGATCTAAGAACAAGACCTATCTGACAATCTCTTTTTTTAACTGTGGTATTTAAGACATATATTTTTAATGTGATCATTGATATGGTTAGGTTTAAATCTGTCATCTTACTATGTTTCTTTTTGTCCTGTTTTATTACACTTTCTTTTAAGTATTTTTTTATGAATCCATTTTATCTCCCATTATTGGCTTGTTAGCAGTTAACTTTGTTTTGGTTTTTGTAGTGGTTTCCTCAGTGCATCTTTCATTTATCACAGTCTGTCTTCTAAAATCCCTGCTGTGGATAAACAATATATTCTTAGAAAGTTGTAGTATTTTAAACAGCCACTGTAACCTGACTCATGGAGAAATTGCTTATTTTTTCTGATCTTTTGCTCTCCTGGAAATTACTATTCTTTCATGGTCTAATGAGTGCCAGCCAAGCTCTTCTAGAAAAGTGTTTTATGAATAATACTTAAGAATGAAGCAATTCTTGAACACTTAAATTTTTCCTAAAGCCATTTCTGTAAGTTGCTATATAGGAGTATTTCCAGGTTCATGGTAATTTATTTCTAGAATAGACCTAACTTTAATTTTTACTGTTTTCTGGGGGTATTTAGAATGAATGTTCTATATGGGGCCACCATCTGAGAAACGAGATGTTTTATGTCCCAGTAATAACAGTCTCACAAGCCTGTAGAATCTTTTACTATTGACTAAGAGACATGTTTCCTGATATCTTACCTCATTTGCTTCTTCAAGATATCCATGAAATAGGAAGGGCAGATGATTTTACAGAGGAGAAAAACCAGGGCCAAAGAGCTAAGGGACTTACCCTTGGTATTCAGTGTGTCAGTGGCAAAGTTGAGACCTGAAGCCCTGGTCTTTTTCCCTGCTGCCACAGCACTTCACACTTAGCTTGACCTGCTGCCACTATCATAATCACCTTTTTCGTAGATGTTCTGGCAGAGGTAGCCCAGTGACAGCTTGGTGTTTCCTCAAGGGAGATTTTTGGTTTTTGGTCAGCCTAAGGAAGCTGGGATTAACAGCTGAGTAAACCTGCATAAGTGACAGAATAAATCTGACAGGGAAATGTTTTCCTCCCAGCATTAATCAAGAAATGGAGCAAGGCTAATTTCTCTTTGTAGCTGAAATGTGATAACCCATTGTAATACATTCTGTTCAAAGGAAAATCTTCGGAGGTGGTGAGAGCCAGTGGCTGAATATATTCATATACAAAAATTCTGTAGAGTGTCAAAGGACCTGTTTTCTCCTGAAGTTCCCTCTCATTTTTTTAGTGACCTTAGTCTATTTTAGTATTTCTGAATCCTAGGTCCTAGGTTCTCTGACTTATAACTAACAATAATGAAGATCAAGCAGTTGTTTGAAATAGAAATAGAACTGTAGGGTGCAGCCAGATGGATGGGAGGAATCTTGGACCAAAAATTAAAGAGATCTGGGTCCTAGGTCTAGCTCTGCCCTTGAGTTACTATGATTTGAGGCAAAGCACTTCACCACTCTGAACCTCAGTAGTAATAATACCAACTTCATAGCATTGCTGAGAGCATTAAATGAAATATTGGTAAAGTGTTTAGCATTGTGTGGTACTTTGTTAGTACCAAGTATTACTGTCTTTATATTTCTGGTACCTGTGTAACCTTGGGCAGCTATCTTTCCTTATTTGAACTGAGTTTCTCCATTTCTAAAAAGTGAACTAGGTATATCTTAGGACCTTTCTAACTGACCTTTTAAGATACCATGAGTTGGATATTCTTCTACAAGCTGATATCCTCCTGGCATTATTGTGTTTAAAGTGGTCATGAGGATCTGAGAGAAATCAGACTGTGGTGTTGATTCTGTCCCACTCTTTCATTACAGACCACTACTTACACCCGCCGTGGCCATGGTACATGCACCAGCCCAGGTTGCTCCTTTACATATGTCACCAGGCACAAACCACCTAAGTGCCCTACCTGTGGTAACTTCCTAGGAGGGAAATGGATCCCAAAGGTAAGGCCCACTGGCCATTGCTGCTTTGGAAGTAGGATAGGCTTCCTGTTCTGTAAGAACAGAAAGAAGACATAAAAAATAAATATCCTTTTTTATTTTCTGACTGTAGAAATAAGTCAATTTCATTATAGACTGCTTTAAAAAGAAAGAATAAAATGTTATCCATAATCTTACACCATCCAAATAAAAGCTATTATTAAATGACATTTTGGCATATATTCTTCCAGTCTTTTTTCTGTGAATATACAACTTCTCTATCTTGCTTATTCTTATTTAACATATCTTGCCATTAAATATCCTTCAGGATGTTACCTTTATTTTATTTTTAAATTTTTTTAAAATTAAGGTATCATTGATTTACAATCATATGAAGGTTTCATGTGAGCATCTGTGTGCTAATTATAATGCCCCTTAATCCCCTTCTCCCTCCCTCCCCACCCACTCTCCCCAACTCCTTCCTTTTCATAACTGCTAGTTCCTTCTTAGAGTCTGTGAGTCTGCTGCTCTTTTGCAGAACGTTATCTTTAACCACTTCATAATTTCCCACAAAGACTATACCATGTTAATTTATTCATCTCCTATTAGGGTTAAATTTTTAACACTCTACCTTTCACACTGACTGCTTAGTTATTCAGATGCATTGCTCACATCCTTTTGCTCCTTAGCATGAAGTCCTCCCAGTCTCCTATAGCTCCCATTAAAAGTGGAAGTCTTTAACCTGATACTCGAGATCTTCCATAGTCTATCTTTCCAAATATATATCTCTGTCTCTTTCTCTCTCTAAATAAATGATGCTCAATAAATAAAAGAGCATCAGAGCTATGCCTCTGTTAAGTTAAGTTCATTATATGTTTTTTGTTACCTGTTTATGCTTGGCATTGACTGTATAAATCATACTTGACATATTTTTGATATGATACTATAAATTATTTAAGGTCAAAGGGACCACAATAGTCAGGGAAGGTTTTGTAGAGGAGATGGTCCTGAAGGATCAGTAGAATTGTGGGTGGGTAGAAAAGGTAAGAGAGAGCATTGTTTTTGTGAAAATAACTTAGGTTAGGATTGTGTTTGTTGTGTGTCAGCATGGTCCAAACTTATTCGTGTGGAGAAAATGGAAACAGCATACTGTACTGCATACAATAGTAAATATATACATACCTTCTATACAGCATGCTATATTGTAACATAAAATTGCTCTGGGGCAGTTTCCACAGAACATCTCTTAGAAATACAGAGATACTGGCTTTTACCCTCTGGCTGACTGTCAGAGTTCAGGGCAGCACCAATTCCAGGAGACAGAATAAGTTAATAATGAAGAATTCCTCACTATTCAGGGAGTCAGCTTCCCTCAGTTCAAACCCCTGCTTTTCAAGTTTTTAGCTGAGTATCCTTGGACAAGTCATTTTATGTCTCTATTCTGGAGTTAGGTTTCCTTGATTGATAATGGGAGTTAACAGTAGCACTTACCTCATTTGGGGCTATAGGAGAGGTCCGATGAGATGATCCGTGGAAAGTGGATGGTGCATTCCATGTGTGTATTAAATCCTCAGTGAGGTTTCATCACTATCATTAGCAGCAGTGTAATTACTGTCTGTTATTGCTGTTCACATTACACTTCAAGGGGCAGGAAAGACTGGGTGCCAGTATCTCTGAGGAAGTTTTGTTATATTTCCTGTGCCCATCCTCTCTGGTGTGCTGCTACGAAGCAATTCAGTTTATTCTCACCCTAATTATTCTCCCTGAAATAAACTTGCTCAGCTGCAGTGTGGAGGTTGTACTGGAGAGTAGTTGGAATCCTTCCTGACTCTCTTCACTGCTGCACAGCAGGCTTGTCAAATGACATTACCTCTTGTGCTTTTGCATACGAGAGTCTAGTTGATCCTGCGGCCTCATCTCCTTCAGATTCTGTTTGCACTTTGGCTTTCTTCTCATTTTCATTTTTCTGTTTTTCTGTTTTCCCCTCTTTGATCAAAACAACTTTTGAGTCATGGTTCTCTTTCTGAGATCAAATTCATAACGTGAAAGTTTTTCTTAGCTACTTGTCCCCATCATGACTTGCTAAGTGAGAATTCTTTTTTCCCAAAGGTTTTTTTGCTTACATAAAGAGTAGATGCCATGATTTCTGAGTCTTATAGGAATAGAATTAAGTGAGTGAGAGAAGAAAATGGGTCACATTTTAGCATCACTGCACTTAGAATTGTAGAGTTAAAAGTGACTTTGGCTATCAGTTAGTTAAACTCCGAGTTTTTAACTAAGGAAAAGTATATTCAAGAAAAGTGACTTCAATTCACATAGATAATTATGCCAGCTACTTTTTCACTAAGCCACACTTCCACAGGCATTACTATATTGTTTAGCTGCAGCATCTTAAGATTTTTTTGAGTTCTGGTTTTGAAGGAGCAAGTCTAAACCTTCTATAAAAGCTCCATATGTATCCTTGTCAGTCAGGAAGTGACTCACCTTTTCTTGTATTGTTCTAGAGTTCATACTGGCTGACATTAGCCCAAGAAGCATGTGGCACAGTTCCCAGTGAGCTGGATGGAACAAAAGATGGTATATAAGGCTCTTCAGTGCAGGGCCTCACTCCTGTGGGCTCTCTGATAGTGGTAATTGAGGTCTCTCAGCCGAGTGGGCAACTGGTAGTATTTACTTTCCATTTTTAAAGTGACATCTGAAAAGGGTAGGCTGAGTTAAGGAAATGTGAGATTACCGAGATTACCAGCTAGAGTCTTTTGCTCTGATTGCTTAGATTTCGAGTCTTCCTACAACGGATTTTTGTCAAAATAGTCTACTTCGTGAGCAGTGCTTTGCTTAAAGATCTCATCTCAGGAGTTTAACTTGTCTCCTGTTTTACTGCTGAGTTTTCCCACCTTAGTAGTCAGCTCTGTTCAGTTTGCCTGTTATTTTTCCCTGTATTTACTCTTCCTCATGGGCTATTACATGTTAGAATTTGAGGATACTTTACTGGAGATTTCTTAAAGCACATCAATACTGGTTCTTAGCCAGAGGCAGCATACTTCCCTGGGGGGTTCTGGAAATGTGAGGGGTTTTGGTAGTCAGTGACTGGGAAAGAATACTGAAATTTAATGACATTATGTACAGATGTTAAACTCCCTGCAACATGCAGAGGGTTCCTGGACCATGAAGAATTGGGCCACTCAAAGCTGTCTTGCTGCTGTTGATGAACACTTCAAAGAGTCCAGCTCTTATTTTATAAGGGGGAAATGAGGGTTCAGATGAAGCTTGCCTTAGATGACAAGTAATTAGTTGTGAATCAGAGCCTAGATAGAACCCAGCTTTTAAGTTTTGTGTCTCTTACAGTTCCTTTCACTGTTTACATGGAAAAAACTTTCTGAGACTTATCCCGGAAACAACCACTGTTGTAGAAAAAATTTTTTGAGTGTGTGTTTGTGTGTGCATGTGCATATGTAAGTAATATGTTTCCAAAGCAGTACTGATTGGATAAAGTCCTGGCACCAAGGAATTTTTTAAAGTATGTCTAGTATAGCAGCTGGTATTTTACTGAGTTTGAGTATTTTCTAGCACATATGTATGAGTTAGTTTGACCCAATAAGAAGTTTGTGTTGTAGATGTAAGTCAGCTTTAAGGTTTTATCAAAAAGAATCAGGGACAAAAGATAAAAAAGAGTTTTCCCTAATGGAATTGGAAGCTCTGCATCTATCCATGTGAGATTGTGACCACATTGGGATTAACTCTCATAAATGGGCCACCAAGATAAACAATTCAGGGCTTCTAGGCCCAATATGGCAGTACGACAACCTCTTTCTAGACATAGAGGAGGCTTTCAGCAGTCAAAGGTCGAGTTAAAAAATACCAACATTTGTTTGCTGAAACCTAAAGAGACATGTGAATGAGAAATTCATTAGGAGGAGAACAGCTTTATCCTAACTCAGGCATTGAATACTATAGTGAAAGGAACCTGAAGTTAGAAGACTTAAGATTCAGGCCAGTTTTATAATAATTGAGACCTCAAGTTAGCCTCTTCTTCTCCGTGGGTCTCAGTTTCTTTATCGGTTGCCCATATGTTATTGTTATAAGGATCAAGTGAGAGAATATTTGTGTTGTCAGCTATACAATACCATATGCATGCAAGGTATTCTTATTTTTTCTAGGAAAAGCCAGCCAAAGTCAAAGTGGAATTGGCTTCTGGTGTCTCCTCCAAAGGCTCTGTGGTTAAAAGAAGTCAGCAACCTGTCAACACTGAGCAAAATTCCCCTAAGGAAAATGCCTCCAAACTGACTCTGGAGAACTCAGAAGCTGTAAGCCAGCTCCTAAGTGTAGCTCCTCCAAGAGCAGTGGGTGAGGAGAGTGAGTGGGAGGAAGTGATCATCTCAGATGCCCATGTTTTGGTCAAGGAATCTTCTGGGAGTCGTGGTACAGCAGCCACTAAGACACCGGTGGTCAAGCATGGTGTGCAGCCTGAGGTCTCTCTGGGGACAACTGCGAATGACAGTACTGGACCAGATACATCACTGCCAGCCGAGGGGACCAGCACCTCCAGTCTACTCTCTGCTTCTAAAAAACCTACAGGGTAAACCAATATGTTTATATATTGCAGGATTGTATTTTAGAATAGCAGTTTTGGAAATGCCCCATGTTTGTTTTGTCCCATGTCCTTATAGCATTTTTAAGAGAGAGAGCAGAACCCAGTTATTAGTTCCTGTTTTTATAGATTCAGAAATCAGAGCCTAGAGACATGGAATGATTTACCTTCCCTCCATATACTGTGCTATCCATGCACTGCTCTCGGGTTCCTGTATCCCTCTTCAAGTCAGTCTCCCTAAAGCAATTGTTAGGCTAGGCTTTTGCTGGTACAGGCGTGGGCAGTGTTACAAACTGGCATCCAATCCTGAATAGTAGATTTGGAAAGAGAAGCCTTATTAAGGCAGCTTAGAGAAGGAGTTCCTGTCATGGTGGCCAGAGAATTCAGTTCTGGTGTGACTCTGTCCCTGTCTTCTGTTTGACCTTGGGCATGGTCATTTCATGCCCCTTCTCTCCTCTGAAAAGTCTTGAGTTGTGTATTAGAAAAAAATCTCATCCTTAATGGTTGACCACACCACCTGAAAAAGCTTATGTGTAAAACATGCAGCCCAGTGACTTGCAGTTTAGGAGGAGGTCCATAAGGTGGGCTATTTTTTCCCCCTTCCCTCCTTAAAGGCTTAACTGGATTCTCCATGTAGTGTCTTCGCACAGGCAATTAGGATCTTATAACTGAAAGCCCTTATTTATGGCAGTGGTTCTCAGTGGGAAACAGTTTTGCCCCCAGGGTACAATGTAGCAATGTTTGGAGACATTTTGGGTTAACAACTTGGGAAGGGGTGCTACTGGGATCTAGTGGGTAGAGACCAGAGATACTGCTGAACATCATATAATGAATAGGACAGATCCCAACAACAAAAATTAACCGGCACAAAATGTTAATAGTGCCCGCCAAGGTTTAGAAATTCTGGTTTATGTTATTATGACCTAGAACTTTTTATTGTCGAGCAGGAAATATGTTCACATGGTTCAAACTCAGAAGGTATATGGAATATACACTGAAAAAAAAATCTTCCTTCTATCCCATCCTTTGGTTACCCATTTCCCAGAGACAGTAAATATTCCCACCTTTCTGTGTTTCTGGAGATAATTTTAAGGACATAAAAACATATATGTTTGTGTGTGTATGTATATATGTGTGCATATATTTTCTCCCCACCTTTTTTTTTTACATAAATGGTAACATAACACACATACTTCTACATCTTGCCTTTTTTTATTTAACAGTACACCTTGAGATGGTTCTGTATCCTTAGAAAATGAAGCTGTGTGCTTGAGACCTTTTATTTTGAGCAAAGCACTTTAACGGTTATGAGGCCTTCTCTGGTGTAGGCTCTGTTCTCAACATTTAAACTACAAAGATGAAGAAAACATGGCCCTTGTTCTCTGGGGTCTGTAAGCCACCCTTATGGTTGAGATAGATACACTTTAAAAATACTTGCTCTAATTAGAGACAGATTAGGTGTTACAACTGTAATACCTGTTGGTATGCCATACTTTAGGCACTGCTTTCAACTTTTTTATCTTCACAATGACCCCATCAAGTATATTTAATTACTGTCCCACTTTACCATGAGGAGCTTGAGGTTAGCAAAAGAGTGAGTGAAATTGCTTGCCCAGGGCCACACAGCTACTTACTGGTTTAATCGGCCCGTTTGTCCAAAGCCTAACAGTGTAACCACTCCACTATCCCTTTAATAAAGTGGCATTTGGAAATTGCACGTTGGTTTCTTTGCCTTTGGTCCAGAATTTTTGAGATTTATTTTCTTGCTTTTTTCAGAGTTGACCTGCTCACCCATGGGCCCAGAGCTTCAGAGCTTAAAGGCAGAGCGCGGGGCAAGTCCTCCTTACTGGCTGCAGCAAGACCCATGAGAGCAATTCTCCCGGCCCCAGCTAATTTGGGCCGAGGCAGTAATGTGGGACTGCCTCGGACCAGGCAGGCCATTCCCCTGAGCGGTAAGGAGGAGGGGCTGTGTGATGGGAAGGGGTCAGTGTTGGGGACAGGGATGGAGGTGAGAGACTCTGAATGCACTTAAGTCATCAGTTTGGCTCCTGGTTGTCTCAGATAAGACTTCCTCTGTGAGGACTTGTGGCCTGAAGCCAAGCACACTGAAGCAGCTGGGCCAGCCCATGCAACAGCCATCTAACAATGCTGAGATGAAGGTAAGACCCACCCCACAAAGGGGGAGCTACTTGGGGGGCCTGGCTGCTCCAGTACAGGGCTTCCATTTAGTGTGTCTAAGCCATAGCAAAAAGCCTATTCTTACACTGGTGGACCTCTAGGAGGAGGTTTAGCATGAATGAGTTAATATATATATATATTTCTTTTAATTTTGTTATCATTAATCTACAATTACATGAAGAACATTATGTTTACTAGGGTTCCCCCTTCACCAAGTCCTCCCCACAAACCCCATTACAGTCACTGTCCATCAGCGTAGTAAGAAGTTGGAGAATCACTACGTGTCTTCTCTGTGTTGCACAGCCCTCCCCATGCCCCTCCCCCACATTATACATGCTAATCATAAGGCCCCTTTCCCCCCCCCCCACCCTTATCCCTCCCTTCCCACTCATCCTCCCCAGTCCCTTTCCTTTTGGTAACTGTTAGTCCATTCTTGGGTTCTGTGATTCTGCTGCTGTTTTATTCCTTCAATTTTTATTTGTTCTTATACTCCACAGATGAGTGAAATCATTTGGTATTTGTCTATCTCCGCCTGGCTTATTTTGCTGAGCATAATACCCTCTAGCTCCATCCATGTTGTTGCAAATGGTAGAATTTGTTTTCTTCTTATGGCTGAATAATATTGCATTGTGTATATGTACCACATCTTCTTTATCCATTCATTTACTGATGGACACTTCGGTTGCTTCCATTTCTTGGCTATTGTAAATAATGCTGCGGTAAACATATAGGGTGCATCTGTCTTTTTCAAACTGGAGTGCTGCATTCTTAGGGTAAATTCCTAGAAGTGGAACTCCTGGGTCAAATGGTATTTCTATTTTAAGCTTTTTGAAGAACCTCCATACTGCTTTCCACAATGGTTGAACTAATTTGCATTCCCACCAGCAGTGCAGGAGGGTTCCCCTTTCTCCACAGCCTCACCAACATTTGTTTTTGTTTGTCTTTTGGATGTTGGCCATCCTTACTGGTGTGAGGTTGATACCTCATTGTGGTTTTAATTTGCATTTCTCTGATAACTAGCGATGTGGAGCATCTTTTCATGTGTCTGTTGGCCATCTGAATTTCTTCCTTGCTAAGCTGTCTGTTCAGCTCTTCTGCCCGTTTTTTTATTAGATTATTTCCTTTTTGTTTGTTGAGGTATGTGAGCTTTTTATATATTTTGGATGTCAACCTTTTATCGGATCTGACATTTATGATTATAATCTCCCATACTGTAGGGTACCTTTTTGTTCTATTGGTGGTGTCCTTTGCTGTACAGAAGCTTTTCAGCTTGATATAGACCCACTTGTTCATTTTTGCTTTCGTTACCCTTGCCCACGGAGATATGTTCATGAAGAAGTCGCTCATGTTTATGTCCAAGAGATTTTTGCCTTTGTTTTTTTTT